ATTTATTTATTTATTTTAAAAGTCATTTTATTTATTTATTTATTTTAATAACATTTAATAATTTTTTACTGTACGAAACTGTTTGTTTAAAAAGAAAAAAAAAATTTTTTTTTGTAATGGATAATAATAATAATAATAATAATGACTTCATGTTTTTTATTTTTTTACCACCCACGCGACATTTTCTTCTTCGCCTCTTCGTGTAAACTACCATCGAAGATTTCAATGATTTCTATTGTATATCATTGCGTAGGTAAATAATACGTTATTGTTAAATTATCCTTCTAGAAATTTCTATAAGATGAAAATAAATTTTTATTTAAAATCTTTTTCATAAATTATGGAGAAGGAAAATTTAATGTTTCGATAGTTACGATGATCAATTTTAATTTTTTCCCCCGGGAAAATCATCCGCTTTTTCTTTGTCTATCCTTCCAAAAACAAATTTATTATTATTATTATTATTTTTTGCGGAAAAATTTTCTCACGTTTCGTTGGGTCAATATGTAAAAATTCCCTTTTTTATTCCGAAAAATCCTATCGGTAATCGGTTTTGTCGTACCGTTTTTTTTGTGCCCATCGGCCATTTTTTTTTTATACGCTCTCATAAAAAATTTATTCAAAAACAACAACAACCCCAACATAATATTCGTGTTTGTTTTGCTTTAAGGTATAAAAAAAAAAAAAAAACGTGTTTCAAACGGTTGTTTTCTGGGCGCGAAACAAAAAAAAAAAAAAAAAAAAAAATATTTCACTAGTCACGTTATGACGCAAAGAACTCCACCTTCGCAATCCGCATTCTTCTAAAACAACTTTTGTTAATGTCACGTGAGTTGTATGAACGAAAAAACCTTTGATAGAAATAATAATAATAATAATAATAATAATAATAATTTTTTACTTATTAGTCTCTCTCTCTCTCTCTCTTGTAGAAAAAAAAAAAAAATTAGCCTAAAACCAGTTTAACACACGTTATGTACATATCCACCTTCGAGTCGAGTTTTCATTATAACAAAAAAAAAAAAACTTGGCTGGTTGTTGTGTTTGTTGTTTGTTGTTTGTTGTTATGTAGTGCCTCTGTGCCAATAACTAACTGCTACCATTACGAAATTTCATGATTACTGGTTCTAATCCACTAATTACAATTTTTTTTTCGTCGGGTTTGTCGTTAACTAAACCTTGATTTTCCTGTTTTTTTTTTTTATTAGAAAAAGGTTAAACCTTATAAGCTTTAGCTTTTGACTGACCTCTTATGTAATAATAATAATAATAATAATAATAATAAAAGATTCAGGAAGACAAAAACGTCCTTCAAAAAAACAATAATTTTTTTTCTTTTTTTTTTTTATTGCTTTTGGTGTTTGTTAAAAAAAAAATAATTTTGTTAAACCTCTCTCTCTCTCTCTCTCTCTTCCCCCGCCCACCCCCACACACACAACCGTTTTTTTTAATATTCTTTTTCACTGTTATTAATGTTAAAAAAAAAAAAAAATTAATATAATAATGCGTAGGAGTGGAGGAATAAAACAATTGAAAAAATAAAAAATTTCCATAAATATTTTTATGGAAAATTAATTTTTTTCTTCTTCTTCACACTTTTTTATTCACTTTATGTGCGAATGAGTAATAATAAACCGTTATTATTATTATTATTATTATTGTTTATTAACAAATTAATTAATTTATTATGTTAAAAAAAAAAAAAAAAACAAATATGCTCACGATTTACGAGAGGAATTTAAATAACAAAAAAAAAATTACTTTTACTTTTTTTTTAAATTGGAAACAAAAAAAGTGCGTGTGTGTGAGTGCGTGTGTGCGTGTGCGTGTGCGTTGACATAAAATTACGTAATTTTTTTCACACTTTATCTCTTATTGTTATGATTACGAATTCGTACATAATAATTTTTAACGTACATTTTTTTTCCTTTTTTTTTTTTTTTCAAATTACTTTCGATAATGATGACGTAATTATTAATTATTATTATTACGAACTGTCCCAAAAATTACATAAAAAATTATTATTATTATTTTTAATAACTTTTATTTAATTAATCAAAAGTAAACCACTTTAATAATAATAATAATAATTAATAAAATGAACTCGTTATAATTAAATACGTCAACAAACGTCACGTGATTTAATTTCTAAGGTATATAAAAAATCAAATTCCAAATT